ACATTAGAATCTATGGGAAAATATTCACGAAACAAATAGTTGAGTGATAAATGCTGGAATACTGATTGCAGAAAAACTTCCTCCAAAGTTAAGACTGGCATGGAATGAATAATTTTTTCAGTATATAAAATTTTTTATCACTGTCACATTATCACAGCTATCAATTTCTGCTCTTTCTGACATTTTTTTCCTTCTTTGAGGCCTTCTGGGGGCCTGGAACTGGAACCCAAGAAGAGAGCTGGCAAAAGGAAGAATATTTGTTCAAAAATCCCAAGGAAGCAAGGTGGGTTGCAATATTTGCACCTAGTTTCCAAAACTACACCAGCTGCAAAACTATTCCCCATCTTACTTTCTTTCTGCCGAAATTACAGCAAAAAGTTTATATTCATTATTTAACAATGAAATTAATCTATGGTTTGTATCTTGACAGCTTGCCCCTTCTTTGGTAATAATGGAGTATGAGCTTCTTTGCTCCCTGTAATACTCCATTTATTGTATCCTTTAGTGCAGAATTGTGTTTGATCTCAGGAGGGCTGGGGTCAGGGGGGCATGACCAGCTTGATATCACTTGTGTCAGGGGTGCCTGTAGGGGCCCAAGTGCTCTGATGGCAAAAACGGCTTCCGAGCTCTGTTTTCACTGGCAGAGGCACTGCAGGCCAGTCCTTCACTGGTTCCAGGTCAGCCCCGTGGGCCAGATTTAAGTCCCTTATGGGCCAGATGCTGCCCGCGGGCCTTGAGTTTGACACCCTTGCTTTAGTGGCTGAAGAAGTTGATCTTCAAAACATTTATAATATTGCCTTGTAAGGCCACCTGGACCTGGACCTTTACCTGGTTTCATTTTTTTAATAGTTTCTGATATTTCAAAAGTAATTACTGGATCATTCATAAGCTATCTCCGAGCTTGTGAAAGTTTAGATAAGTGTTGTCTTTGCAGATATTCATCTACTTTATGCATATCAAGTTCCTGTTTCTTGTACAGATTAGAGTAAAATTTGTGAAAGGACTTTTTAATAAAATCATTATCTTTATTACACTGTCATCTTCATGGATTTTCTCAATCATTCTCTTTTCTCTTCCCTTTCTTCATTTATATGCCAGTCATCTTCCTGATTTGTTTGCAAATTCAAATGTCTTTGTTTCACATAATTCAATTTAGTTTCTATTTCTTGAACTGTTAAAACAGACAACTGTTGATGCAATGATTTAATCTGATGTACGTTTTTAGAGTCCATAGGTGTCTTTTGAAATTGAATTTCTTTCTTTCTAATTTCATCTAATATCTTTTGAATCTTTTCCTGGGATTTCTTCTTCTCTATAGAATTGTATTGTATAAAATAGCCTCTCTTAATTGCTTTACTAGCATCCCAAACAGTCATTAAATTTGTCCCTTTAGTTGGGTTACTATCAAAATATTCATTTAATTTCTTTTTACAGTCCTTTACAACCATTTCTTTTTGTAAAATAGGATTATTATGCTTGAGTTGTACAATTATACAACTGTCATGGGCAGACATTCATTCTTCATAGTGAGACTTTTTTCTTGCACCTGTTTTAAATCATATTTAAGCTCTGCCAGACCTTACTGGATTGGCTTCAAGAGTTATACCTGAGCCAGAATCTCTTAAGAAATTGGTAGAAAAATCCTCCTCCATCATCATTCCCAGCCTGGCAGATGATGATACAGCTGAAATTAAGCTAACTGTGGAATATTTAGGTCTAGTTGCCATTCTTTTGCTTGTTAAAGGCAAAATCGGTTTTATTTATCCAGGTCAAAAATTTTGCCCATACAGTCTGATAATTTAAAGTCTGAAAAACTTTTATCAGGAGTGGGGTGAGAGATGTGCACTGACAGCGCCATCTCAAACCTTTGGACAGCTTTCTTTGAAATACCACACAAGCCACACATAGGAATAATTATATACCAGAGGTGTCAAACTCAATTTCACTGAGGGCTGCATTGGGGTTGTGTTTGACCTCGGGGGTGGGGGTGTGTGGAGTGCCATGGCCAGGGTAGGTGTGGCCAGCTTGACATCACTCATGTCAGTGGTCGGTGGTGGCCCAAGTGCTCTTCCAGCAAAAACAGGCTCCCAATCTCCGTTTTCGGCTGGGATGGCCTCCTGCCACCCTCTACCAGCCCTCCTGAGCTCAATTTTTGCTGGCAGAGGCATCATGGACCTTTGCTATTTCCAGGGCAGCCCTGTAGGCCAGATCCGGCCTGCAGGCCTTGAGTTTGACACCCGTTATATACAGAAGAAAATAAGAAAATCTGTGTTCAGAAAATATACTTACTAGCCCAGAGAAAAGTTAAATAATTTTTAACGTTATTTAAAAGGAATTATAAAGGAAATGGGGATTACTGGATGCAAATTTGCCCCTAAACAAAACAAAGGATGCAAGAAAAAAATTCCTTTGCAGTTTAATTTAGTTTGTGAGAAATTGAGGGAGGCAGCCCATTTGAACTCAGCAAAACAAAGTCTAATAACAAATAACTGTGAGAAAAGTAAATGTTCTAGATACCTGAAATTGTATTAACGTCGCTTGCTCTGACACATAAACACAAATATGTACTGAGGTATCTTGTAAACACAATTCCATACCTGTGACAGCTGTATGCAGAAGCAAATGTAGCAATCATTAACAATAATATTGCCTTTCTTACCATGCTAATCTGACACCAAAAAGAGAACAGCCATTTTCCATAGCAGGAAAGATATTTCCCATTTCATCTGTGTTAGAACACCATCCAATTACATATGCAAATAAATTCTGATTTAGCTGTTTTGCACTGAAGTCTCCCTTTGGAACCTTTTTCGTTGAAGCATAGCCACTTTGAGTGGAACAAATAAAATATCCTGGGAGAATAAGATTGTCTCCCATTGAATTCTCAATGCTGCTATTTAGTAGCTGCATGTCAGTTAAGATCTGGGAAAGGAAAGGTATTTTTCTGCAGGATCCTGGCTGCAGAATTCCCTTTTAGGCTCTCACAGAATTCTTAAAAATTGGAAGTTGAAACAAACCCTTCTTAAACAATACGATGACTTGTAATCGGTAATATATAGAAGATATCATGGTATACTGTCAGAATATACTTTTACTGGCTAAACTAGCAAAAGGAGCAAATCATGACTCAAGTTGCAAATAAGTAATGGTATCATTACATTTAGACATGGGGCAGAGATTCAGGGCTTTGCAAGATACTAAATGAGTCCTAGAGGCAGGCAACAAAACTGTATTGAAAAAAGGGCTGAATTAGACACATATTTTAAAACCCAAACTCTCCCAAATGTGAACGACAATCATTTGAACCATTCCAGAGTTTTCTTGGAATGGGCCTTTTTGCTCTTTTTTTTAAAAAAAAAACCCATTCAGCATTCCTGAGGCTAATAAGTAGCTGCATATTACATTAACTATTAATCTACCCTGTTTCTCCAACAATACAGCCTCCTCCAATAGGAAGTCCCAGCATATTTTATAGGCATGAAATGAAATTAAGCCCCTCACCCCAAATTAAGGCCTATATTAAAACATGCAAAATGGGGGGAATGGTGGGGGGCTTGCCATTAGGAAGTACTTTTGTTGCACACTCGGATATAGTGCTGCCTGCGTTGATCCCGATACGAAGTGCCCCACCAACGCCGAGGTCAACATCCAAGCCGTCGCTACCCACCCACCCAAAGATGCAAGGGGGGGAATTAAGTCACCCCCGAAAAGACAGCCTAGCCATTTTTTCGGGGCTCAAAAAAAATAAAATAAGACCCGGCCTTATTATATGAGAAACATGGTAGAATTAACCTAGGAAGATAAAACTATTTACACAAACTAAAATGAATGAGTCGCTTCATACCATATGACTTGGATAGCAATTCCCAAATACTTTATTATTCTCCTTTACCATAGAATAGGGGTGTCAAACTCACTTTGTCACGGCATTGTCACGTGATGTATCCGGCCCATGGGCTGGGAGTTTTTTCCCCTTTGCTAAACCGGGCATGGGCATGGCCAGCACGTGACGCATCTGGCCCGCGGGCCAGGAGTTTGACAGCCCTGACATAAAAGGACTCTGAGCAACTTCCATTCCCCTCTAAACATCAGAATAAACAGTATGCAATTATAAAACCTTCAGCACTGAAGAAAATTAAGCATCAAGCAAACATAGAAACAAACAAACAAAAAGCTACATATAATAGTTCCACTGCAGAGCTCTCTTAAAAAGCCATATGTTAATAGGAGTTTGTCTTTCTTGGAAGTATGCTCTTCCAAAGACGAGGTGATTAAAATTGAAAAAGCTGTATAATGCCTAAGAGAAGAGAATCAGAGACAGCCTACCTTTTCTGATCCTACCACATGGAGAGAAACTACAAGGAGAATTTGGTGCTGTGGATATCCAGGTCCTTTAAACATGAGAACTAGCATTTTCAATCACATTCAATTAATATCAAGTGGAGCTCTTAAAGTAGAAAGATTATATAAGGGAACTTTGATATTTCCATCACTATTTGAGAAGCTGTACTGTATACCAGGCTTCTCCAATCTTGGCCACTTTAAGGCTTGTGATATATCATGATATATAACTAGGCATCATTTACATACTGATGATATAAATACAAGTCACCCAGGGCTGAAATTTGACTTGAAAGGGTTTAGATAATCTATTTACTTCAGGAGGTGGATGCAGATGCATTCACACACAAGGCTATGTGTAACATTAAATTTGACTGAACATAAATTGGGGAAATTATAAACTTATTTACATACTAGATCATGGCATCCTCATTGCATAGCATTCTTGCCATGTGGCATTATTCAAGGATTTGCATGTTAACTTTTTAAGGAAACAACCTTAAACAATCAACATTTGTCTATTTTGCCATTCTTCATCAGAAAAATATTACTACCTACCCATGAAATATTGCCTTCTTCCCAATCAGTGATTTAATAATCTTTCTGGTGCTCCTAGGCTTTTCTGAATATAAAGAGAAACAGTGGTAACCTCTACTTACATGAAACCCCAAGCAACCTTGGTGGTGGTGGTGGCGGTGGCGGTGGTGGTAATGGAGGTGGTCTACATTGGCAGATATGCTGGCAATTATCTGTAGCTTTCTCTACTAGAGGCTTAGTGCATGACTTCTGGAGTTCGCCCTGAGTAATCTGAAAAGAACGAACAAGCATTCAACTGATTATCTCTCTTCAATACTTGAACAATCAGCTCCATGTCTAATAAGCTTAGTCAGCAATTCATTTCTCATTTTTGTATATATGGCACCTTCAAACATGGTATGCGAAACTTCTATCTTTTAAACAGTAGTTTCCTATTTGTGGGGAAACAGAATACAGCATCCTTTTCATTTCTTTCTAAACTCTTCATTGTGTTTCTCCACTGTCTCTCTTTACTTTTTTATTTTCTAGCATACAAAAAGTGAATTTGTAATTGGGTAAATGGAGGGCATAGTCCTCTGATCTGAATCAGGACAGGGTTTGAAGTGGAAAATAGATGGTCTACATTGGCAGGTAACCTTTTGTCTCCCCTATAGCCTCAGTCTGGGTCAAGCTTCTTGCATTTGCCACTAGAAAAAAAAAAAAGGACTTACTTTCTTCATGGCTTTATATTCCCAGTTTGGCCCTATATCTTCCATTGCCTTACTTTTTGGTCTAAAATAGTTCCCCCCATTTTCTTTTACAGGTAGTCCTCGATTTAAAACCACAATTGAGTCAAAAATTTTGATTGCTAAGCAACACAGTTGACCCATTTTACAACATATCTTGCAACAATTGTTAAGTGAATCACTGAAATAAAGTTAGTAGCATGGTTGTTAAGTGTTATGCTTAACACTTAACTATTGCGTGAAAAACAGTCGTAAGTCATTTTTTAAAGTTGTCTATTTCAAAATAGGTTGGCCCCATCATAGCCAATTTTCTGTTTCTCAGCTTGACACACTTTGGGGGGGGGAGGCAGCTTTAGAATGTCAAACTGGACATCAGAAACCTCCTATCTTGTGGGAACCGAGGTAATCCCAACAGGTGCTGGCCAGAGACGAGTAGGGGATTCCAAGGAGAGGCCAGAACACCTAATTGGACAACGTGACCTGTGACAAGGAAGGAGGGAGCTGTCTAATCTTTAATTGTACTGGAAGCATGGGAAATAGCCAGAGTTGGTTTACTGTAAAGGATCTGACTGACAAAACCCAAATGAGTCAGCACTCCGAGACTGTCAGTTTCCTCAAAGTTCCTCAAATAACTTCTTTATTGAGTACCTCATTTTGGCAAAGATGATCTTAAAACCAGCTCTGGCTATTTCTCATGCTTTCGGTACAATTAAACATAAACAGCTCCCTCCCTCCTTGTCACCTTGTCCAATTAGGTGTCCATCATCCTGAAGTACCGCCAAAGCATTTGTGCACAGTCCCTGGATCCAAATGCAATGCAAGTCTATGCTTTATATAAACAGCTAACAAGAACAATTCCAAAATGAGAACCTGGCTGATCTAAACTCTAGCAGGGCATTATGGGAAGCTCCCAGCAATGCCTGATAGGGATTTCACAGTTCCTGTATCTTCACAGGTCACTGGATCAAACACAAAGAACATGGTATTATCTTGCCAAAGATTGAAATAACACCTAAACATAATAAAAAAAAGAAACAAAGGTTTAAATAAACCTCAAGCAAACTAAAAACAATTTTGTCTTTGATTATGGTAACAGGGAGGGAAAATTTAAAGTTAACACATTATAATGGTCATCTGGTGGAATTTTTGTTTTATATCATGAAAATGGGAGGAAAGGAGCAGTCTATAGAGTGCAATGAATTCTTCCCTGCAAGATCAGGAATCAGGAAAATGAACTGTCATGGTCTCTTGAGAGATATAGAATGTTGAACCATGATGAATAGTCACAGATTCATACAATTCATAAAATCATGACACTGGATTGGGTTATTAGACCATCAAATCTAATCTTCTGATATAAAGGAGGAATTCAAGTTAAAAGTTCTCAGATAGCTGGCTTGACTCATCCAATGAAATGTATATTATTTTTGGTCTGAAAGTTGCTGAAATGTGTATGGAAGTTGTTAAGTGGGAGTGCTAGGCTATGCACAAATTACATTGAAAGCATTATCTTAGCTATTGAACAAGGTGTCCTGCTTACGGTATATATGGTTCTAAACAACCAAGACCAGGATAGCTGACATATGACTTACCCTGATATAAACAGGTAGTCACTCCAATTGGAACCAGGATTATCACTGCTCGGCAACGCAATTGTAAAGCACAATGTCATGTGACCACATCGCTTACTCACAACAATCCTGGCAGTTCTGGTTGCTGTTGGGAGCCCAAAATGTGGGAAGAGTTGGGAGTCCTAGGTAAAAGACCCCAGGGGTACTGCTGCCAGGATGGTGGGCAGGCATTGAGAAGGCTGGTGCAGGCCACGTGCAAGTCAAGGAGGCTCTGGGCAGGCCAGTGTAGGTCATATGCAGCCATGGCAGATGATAAAGTGGTGGGATTTACCAAAGCAACTTGCAACCTTTCCTGCTGGCTTCCCCATTGACTTTGGTTGTGAGAAGATTGCAGAAAAGGTTGCAAATGATCAGATGACCATGGCTCCCTGCAATTATCACAACCTACTCACCCAACCATAGAGGTGCCACAATGGTCAGAATTTTGAAGAGTGGTCATACGTCCATTTTTTTCCAGTGCTTTTGAAATGATTTCTGAATGAATGAATGTAAGTTGTAGACTATCTACAGATAGTCCTTGATTTACGACAATTGAGTCCAAAATTTCTGTTGCAAGCCATACATTTCTTAACTGAATTTTGCCCCATTTTATGAGCTTTCTTGCCATAGTTGTTAAATGAATAACTTCAGTTGTTAAGACTCAGTTGTTAAATGAATCGGGTTTCTCCATGCACTTTGCTTCTCGCAAAAGGTGATCACATAATTCTGAGAAACTGCAACCATCATAAATATGAATCATTACCAAGGGTCTGAATTTTGATCACTGACCTTGGATATGCTGCAGTGGCCATAAGTCCCTTTTTTCAATGCCATTGTAACTTTGAACAATCACTAAATGAACTGTTCTAAGTCGAGGACTACTTGTATACCTAAATAATATCTAATCAATACATAATCAATAAACTAACCCTTGAGTTTTTAATAAAAATATCATGAAAAATGAACTGCCCATGGTAGATTGATTAAAAATTGGAGGGTCTCTTATCCATCGATGTGTTTATCCACAAGTACGTAGGGGATAAAATATGGGTACCTTTAAAAATATCATATGTACTAGCAAGTAAGCTTATCTCTGGATATGCCAAAACCATTTTGGGGGATGTATTTTGGCACCTAAAATTCTTGGCTTAGCCTCAAGTATATACAATAAGTAAAAAAAATACATTATAATGTATATAAAAATTAACTGCAGACTGTATTTTAAAGACAGAAGAGTGCTTCTTTGTCAGCAATATTTCTCCTAAACAATACTTGGTGTAGTAAATTCATATAACACCTAAAAAGAACTGAAAAATGCTTTCTTTCTCCATACTATTTTATAGTATATGTTTTCACCAATAAATTAACCGAAATTCACACCATGAATCAACTGACATTTTGTAAGTCAGATGACAAATTTATGGCAGAATTCCAGAATCTATTCCTATACCCTTATTTTGCTTGTTTGTATGTACTGTATATATTTGCATATATAAATAATATATTCACAAGACGTACAGCTGATTAGTGTTGATTTCATAGCTGATAGGGTTATTTTCCCATTCTAGGTACAGAACTCTCTCCAAACTCTCAGCCAATAACACATTAAAAGGATACCACTCTGAGAAGGCTGTTGTCAATCATCACTCTTGGGAAAAGGCAATGACAACATAAAGAGAACCACAATGGGTATACAGCTTTCAGCCGCATTTCCTAAAAGTGAGGCAAGAAGCATGATGCACGTTCATAAAATCTCTGAAAACACATCTTAATTGCATTGCAGGGAGTAAAACCCTTTAAATTGAAATAAAATAGTTTTCAATCAATATGTCTAGGATTATGTGAGGATCACATGATAACGGGATTAAGTTTCCTCTTTTTTTCTATAGTTTACAATCAATATCTAAAGTAGTTTATGCAAATCTGTTAAAGTTTACATTTTGCCAAATACTATGATTAATACGTTACTAAACTGAAGTGTGAAACTAATATATGTATCAATAAGAAATTAAGACACATGTATACGTATTAACTCCATTTAGACCAAAATAGGAAAATATGAAGAATGATATTAGCAATTACTCCTGTGGTTATTTTATTTAACTCATTATATGATTACTATATAATATTAATCTGTTGAAAATAAAACGTTGTGATTTCTTTGATTTTGCTCTAACAGCAACAAAAGTATATATACAGCTGTACATTCCTCTATTAAGGGCGGAGGAGAAAAAAACATCTAAGAAATCTACCAGTACATTGGTACAATGCAAATCATCCCATGGCCAGATGAAGGAAATTAAAGTATTTTTCCTTTGATCCCTTGGAGGTAGCATTTTATATCTTAAGTACCTGCAATTTTTTAATGGTAGGCTTAGCTGAACTACAAAGAAACTTGAAACTACATGTAAGAAATCTTTAGTGTTTTAAAACTGCATGTTGAAACCTATTACTAAACTTAGAGAACCCAAATTTATTCATAAAGAGTGTGCCAGCCCTTCTCTTAAGATAAATTTAAAAAGCCATTTCATTAGGAAACCCTCAATAACTGAAGGATTGTTTGAATACTACCAATGCAGTATCATTCATCTCTTAAGCAGATTTAAAAAAAAAAAAAACAGGAACAAACCACACAACCCATCTCAGGTATGTTATGGTTAATTTTAACTACATCTCAATATTATACCTAAACAATGCTCATTTACAGTGAACAATCCCATCATACTACACATAAAATTGAAGGTAAAGTAGACTGTTATACACAGAAGGATGGCAAGCTAAGTAGCATAACCCAAAAGCAAATAGTAAACTCTCCAATGGTGTGTAAACCAGTGTTTCTCAACCTCAGCAACTTTAACATGTGTGAACTTGTAGATGTGGCTGAGGAATTCTAGGAGTTGTTCCACACATCTTGAAGCGGCTGAGGTTGAGAAAC